TCAAGGCCAGCCTGGACTGCATAGCAAGAACCTGCCTAAAAAGAAAAAAAAAAAAAAAAAAAAAAAGCATTCAAATATTTGTTAATTTTCAAGTCCCTTTAAAAATAAGCTGCTGGACTTGGTGGCACAGGCCTGCAACCCAAGCACTCCGGAGGCTAAGGCACTACATAGCGAGACCCTGCCTCAAAAAATTAAATTAATTAATTAAAAATAAACCATGGAGCTGAGCGTGGCACACGCCTGTAATCGCAGCATTTGGGAGGCTGAGGCAGGAGGATTGCTGCAAGTTGGAGGCCACCTTTGGCTACATAGTGAGTTGAAGTCCAGCCCGAATTACAGAAAAAGGCCCTGTCTCAAAAAACAAACAAAAGGGCTGGGGATATAGCTCAGTGGCGTAAGCGCCTGCCTGGCAAGCGGAAGGTCCTGAGCTCGATTCCCGGTACCAAACAAAACAAAACAAAAGCCTGGGAGTGTAGCCCAGTGGTAGAACGTGTGCTTAGCACGTACAAGGTCCTGCGTTCAAGATACACCAGTCCCGCGCAGACGCCAGCTCTCGCGATAGCCGCAGCTACTTACATATTACCCACAAGTCCCTTTAGTTTCTCTGTTAGCCGCCCGAGATTCCGAAAGGGAAGAAGGTGGCCCCGGCCCCTGCTGTCGTGAAGAAGCAGGAGGCCAAAAAGGTGGTAAGTCCCCTGTTTGAGAAGAGGCCGAAGAACTTCGGCATTGGACAAGAGAGATCTCACCCGCTTTATCAAATGGCCCCGCTACATCCGGCTGCGGCGACAGAGGGCTATCCTGTATAAGCAGCTGAAGGCGCCTCCTGCAATTAACCAGTTCACACAGGCCTTCGGCCGCCAAACAGCTAACAGCTGCTTAAGCTCGCCCACAAGTACAGACCAGAGACTAAGCAAGAGAAGAAGCAGAGGCTGTTGGCCCGAGCAGAGAAGAAAGCTGCTGGCAAAGGGGACGTCCCCACTAAGAGACCACCAGTCCTCAGAGCAGGTGTTAATACTGTCACCACTCTGGTAGAGAACAAGACGGCTCAGCTAGTGGTGATTGCGCACCACGTGGGCCCCAGTGAGCTGGTGGTGTTCCTGCCTGCCCTATCTCGCAAGATGGGTGTCCCTTACTGCATCATCAAGGGGAAGACCAGGCTGGGGCGTCTGGTCCACAGGAAGACCTGCGCCACTGTTGCGTGCACACAAGTCAACTCGGAAGACAAAGGTGCGCTGGCCAAGCTGGTGGAGGCGATCAGGACCAACTACAATAACAGATACAATGAGATCCATTGTCACTGGGGAGGCAATGTCCTGGGCCCCAAATCTGTGGCTCGCATCGCTGAGCTAGAAAAGGCAAAGGCTAAAGAACTTGCCACTAAACCGGGCTAAGTGTACTCTTTGAGTTTTCTGTACATAAAAAGAATAAATCGTCCTTAATCTGGAAAAAAAAAAAAAAGATACAGCACCAAATAATAAATAAAATAAATAAGTAAATCAAGGAAACTTCGGCAAGGCTGTAAGAAACCACTTTAGAAAAATTGGCCACTAAAGCAGAAAGCCCCACTAGATTCCCTTTCCTCCCACAAGTTACAAACTTGTGAAAACATTCAGTCACATTTCAGTGCAAAAGAACTGCAGGAGACCTCCCCCCCAGAGCCCGGGAGAGACAAATTATATGTATATTCTTAGGGACTGGAATTGACTAGTTTGGTTTAAAATTCCTGGGGTCTAGCGATCCTCCCCTTCAATCTCTGTACCAGCTAGGACTTGGTCATTTTTGTGTGTTAGAACCAGGGACTGAACCCAGGGAGCACTGAGCTATATTACCAGCCCGTTTTTATTTTGAGACAGTTTCATTCTGTTGTCCAGGCTGGTCTCCAGCTTGTAGTCCTGCTGCCTCAGCCTCTGGAGTACCTGGGATTACTGGCGTTAGCTGCTACCCGCAGCTTCCCTATGGTTTGGTTTTGTTTGTTGGTGGTACTGGAGATTGGGTAAGTGTTCTACTACTGAGCCACATCTCCAACTTGCTTGCCGGTATACTTTTCAATGGGGGAGAAGCTTTAAAAGTAGCCAGATGTGTTCAGATATTTCATACTTAAACTAAAATCTCCAATTCTAGGGGCTGGGGATGTGGCTCAGTGGTAGAACTCTTGCCTTGCATGCACAAGGCCCTGGGTTTGATCCCCAGCACCACATACATAAAAAAACCAATAATAATAATAAATAAATTTAAAAAAAATAAAATCTCCAATTCTAGTGCTCCAGAAATTCAAGATCAGTGTCTAGAAAATATAAGCAATTACATACTTTTAGTATCTTACTTTGTACTTTATCTAAATGACATATCACCAACGGTTATGTGGTGGTGTTTATGCTGGTAAAAGTAACCGTAGATAGGTAAAATTTGTACCACTTAGCAAATTACTTTACAGTATAGGATTTTTTTTTTTTTTTAAGCCAGGGTCTTGCTATGTAGTTCAGGTTGGCCCCTGAATTCATTATGTAGTCCAGGCTAGCCTCAAACTTGCAGCGATCCTCCTGCCTCAGCTGAGATTACAGGTGTGTGCCACCACACCCAGTCAGTACAGGAATTTTATTTATTTATTTTTGTTTATTTGTTTTTCCAGTACTGGGAATCGAACTCACAACCTCACGCTTGCCAGGCAGGCACTGTGCCGCTGAGCTAAATCCCTAGCCCCCTAGTACAGGAATTTTAAAAGAATAACATCTACATTAATATCTTGGCTTTAAAATTTTCAGTTCAGGTAACATTGGTATCCAACATGGTATCTGGGGAAGCTAGGGTGTAGCTCAGTAGTAAAGTGCTTGCCTAGACTGCATGAGGCCCTGGGTTCCAGCCCTAGTATGGCAAAAAACCAAAGTGAAACAAAACAATCAGAAACAAGAAGAAAAGACCTCATCAGTCCAAGAGTGAAATGGTTAAGATAAAACAAGCTAACTAAAGTACCAGAATTGTGAGCCAAAGAAAGGTGCTTTTTTTGTTTTGTTTTGCAATGAATCAGTCTTCATAGATCACCTTATTGTGAAGATAATTTTACACTTGATTTTAGCCAGAAGGCCGAGAAACAATTGTGAAGATAATTTTAGAAGCAGGAAAATCCTAACTAAAACATCATTTTAGAAAAAAAAAAGTTTTGCTCAATATGGTTATACAACATTCAGTTGTGATACAAAAGTTTTATTATGGACAATGAAACAAAAACAATACGAAACAGAGGTATCAACCACACATTTTCTTGAACAACCAACCTTTATTAGGAAGTTGTTACCCCACTTGTAATAAATATCAACAATATAATGAAATAGTGAAACAATTATTGTCCAAATACTGAACTCCTATAACCAAAACACATCTTGGGTTTGGGAAAACCCAAACAATATATACACACCAAAAAACAAACATCACATACACACCGAAAGCGAAAAGTGGCTCAAGTTTAGGACTGAACTGTCTGGAGAACTCCTATTGTGTCACTGCTTTAAGAACCCCACGGAGCACCTTATAGCTCATTAGCTGCACATTTTCCTTAGGAGGGAAACAAGGTCCTCTCTCAGTCACATACGCATAAGGAAATCTCAAAACCCAAAGGCCATCAGATGGGAGAGTGATTTCTTGTTTTTCTGGGTAAAATACTGGACATGGTGGTGGGCCTGGTTGAACCTAAAAAACACAAGAAACATAATTATTTTTGCATTTCTCAATAAGAAATAACTGAAAGATAAGTACCTAAACAAACCATAGGTTCAAAGAGCATATAAGATTAATCAGATAGCGGGTGTGGTGGTACATGCCTACAATTGCAACTCTTCAGGAGGCTGAGGCAGAAGGATTGCAAATAGGAACTAGCCAGGGCAACTTAGGGAGACTTTGTCTCAAAATAAAATTTTAAAAAAGGGATGAGGATGTAGTTTATTGGTAGAGTGCTTGCCTGGCCTGAAGGAAGACGTGGGTTCAATTCTCAAATATCATAGGAGAGAGGGGGCAGGAAGGGAGCTAGGGCTAAGCTCAAGGGTAGAGAACATACTTAGCATGTACAAGGCCCCAGGTAAAAATGGGTAGGGGGGCAGAGAGGACAATCACAAACTTAAGCCCAGCCAGGGCAACTTACAACTTAGTAAGATCCTGTCAAAATAAAACAAGGTTAAAAAAAAAAAAATGGTATGTAGCTCATAGTGAAGGCCCTGGGTTCAATGCCCATACAACAACGACAAAAAGAAAAAAGAGAGAGAATAAGCAAAATGGGCATGCTCCTAATTCTTATTTAGTCTCAGTTTTTTTGCTGTTCTTTGTTTTTTTGAGACAGGGTCTCACCATATAGTTCAGGCTGGCCTTGAAACTCACTATATAGTCCAGGCTGGCCTCCAATATGCAGTGATCCTTCTGCCTCAGCCTCCTGAGTGCTAGGACTGCAGGTGTGCATCACCACGCCTGGCTTTTTTTCTACAGCCTTTTAAAGTTCAAGCTCTGTTTTTGAAACAGATGACGTGAACTGACTGTGTGAACTTTTCTAGCTTCCATGAGAATGGAAAATAAAATACATTTTCTAAGAAATAGGGT